AGTTAACACGGTCTCTTATGAGAGAACAAGGTTAAGTACCCTTTTAATTAAAAATTAGGGCACATTATAAATGTGTTAAATTAAAAAAAACGTTTTTACAGATGCTGTAGTACAAAAGGCAGATGCTCAACAAAAAAAATCATGACTCGCCAGGCATTTTCTAAAAATATAATCAATTACAGTCGTACAGTTTGAAGTTTGTAGAGTACAAGAGAAGATGCGTGGTAAAGGGGGCACATCTGCGTGGACAGGAGGGACCCCCCCATTCCTCACCTATCTGAATGATATTCCCAAACCTCCTTAAAAATACATCAGAATCAGTTCTATTTAAGAATAAAAAATATCTGTATTTATATAATTTGCGTATATCTTAATTTTTTGATAATTACGTACATATTCATCCCTGTGCATATACAATATAGATATACATTTTTCTTCTCTTCAACATAAAAATCATTTCTGCACCAAGACAAAATTACCATGCCGAATATCAAATTTTGATATAATTTGGTTTTACTACGTAGCATAGTAATTTTTATAACATGGTGAGTATGTCTCATAGCTTTTCTATGGAATATAGTAATTTTTACTACAGTTGTAAAGCTTTTTTAACACCACTTTTCTCAGTGTATGTTTGATATATATTGATTTAATTTTCACTTAAGATATATCATACATTATAATCAAATTACTTCAAAAATGGTTGTCTTTCTTGAAATGTTTCCTGCAAACAAATGTTGAAGTAGTGACTTTTTTGGTTATGTTGTATGCCTTGATTTATTATCTTCAATTAAGTATACTACTATTTTTCGGTATACTATGAAAAATAATTTCATTTACACTTGAATTATCATTGCAGCTAGACACACTACAAGGAAAGCGCTGAGGCTTTTGCTTACTTATTTTAAGACAAAAAAATTCACGTTTTTGTTTACTATTGTTTGCTGCCAATACCGTTTGAACTACATACTTAGTAGTAGAATTGGTTCAGCTTCCAACCATCAGGGTGGCGCTACTTGTCGCTTAACACGGCGAATATTGGAAAATGATTCTAATGCTTTTATTAATAAGTCAGAAATCTAATATGACTCTAAAAGGTGTACAAGCAATATTAAAACACTTATCATCGTATCAATTGGCGCATATGTAGATGGCAGCACTTCTATATAAGCACTCTTAAACCCATCCATGTCCTTTTCGATGGCAAGTAGACTAAAGATCCATGACAAAAATTGACAAATTTTCTTAAGAAATAAATAAAAATAAGAATTCTGTATAGCAATTTTTACTGTACTGAATAGCAATGTAGTGTAATTAGAAATTTTACTATGCCTTAGAAAATTCTACTTTAGAAAATGGAACGTTTGAAAATAAATACAATAAAATTTTCTATGCTGTGTAGTAAAAATTATACCACCACAATTTTTACTATGTTAGACATAGTAATTCTTATTATGGTGTGTATAATTTGGGTAGGGCTGCTGCATAATAATAATTATTAAAAATGTAATAAAAATTACTATAAACGTAATACTTTACGTCATCAGGTGAGTATGTCTGAACTTTCCTAAAAAATATGGTTATTTTTAGTATAGGTATAATACTTTGTCTAGCACCACTTTTCTTAGTGTGCATATATATTAACTGACCGTTTGAGAAAATATTTATGAATTACACATGTTTCTGCATATGCCAGTAATTTTAACTCTTGCACAACGTGTACAAATTTTTTGTGTCTTAAAGATGAATTTTACTTGATACATGTACAACGTATACACGTACTATCTTTATACATTCACTCATTTTTTGGAGGCATTGGTTAAAAATATATTTTGAGATCGTTATCGTTATGCAATTAATATTTCAAAATTATATGCTACCTCTTTTATGTATTAATTACGCAAAAATACGTAAATTTGGGTATTGTTATCGCCAGTTCATGGTAAAGTTTGTCATTTTTATAAAAATTAAAAAAAAAAACATTTATTGAAGTATCATTTGTCAAAACTTTCATCATACGTTCGATACTAACAAGCTTCTTGTCCTAGATAGTGTGCAGCTATTGCCCAATCTGTATAAACAAGAATGAAATCTCAAAACTAATAGCTTTTTGTCTTACTTGCTGTTTTCTTAGTATACCTACTTCAAGCTGGAGAAACCTTGACCAACATCGAATATCTGGACCAAGATACCGTTATAATGACTGCTTCCATTGAATACATCACCCATATCTACTGCGTCTACGTAATATACTTATGTGGCATAATGCTGAATAGTTGTATTATTTGACCATCGTAAATAATACATTATTATTAATACATTAATATTAAGCTTTGAACTTATGTTTAACGTTTCATGCAAGGTTTAATATTGTGCTAGTAGATAATTTTTCAAATAGAATAAGACTATCACAAAGAACGCTGTAGGTATAACGAATTTTTCTTTTTATTGCATTTCTAACTTACACGCATGTATTGCAGGATTTAAAAAAGATACGTTACATTTGCTTAGTAAAATAAAACATATTGCAGTGTGGTCAAATTAGCTGAAACGTCAGTTTTTTTTTTGTAAAATTCAGATTAGCTCGAAAAAAATACACTGTAGAGAATCAAAGAATGCCAATCGATTGTAATAAAATCGAACAAAAAATATTTTCCTCTAAGGCTTCAAAAAAAACTGCAAAAATGGTAAAACACGGTTTTTTTCGTCAAAAACGAGAAATAAACCTTAAAAAAACAATGTATTGAGGTATGCGTGTAAAAAAATGAACAAAATAAGACCCAGTTAATCCCAATTGGTCTAGTGGTTTCCCCATGAAATGCGAAAAAACCTTGTTTTTTGAGCAAATATTCAAAAACTAATAACTCTTTTTTGCATAAATATTAAGAGCTGAAATTGAGTAGAGTTGTGGTTATAGTTATTTTCAACAACCACAATGAATTTCAGCAAGATCGGATGGATAGTTTTTGCAAACCACAGCTAAATGCAAAAAAAAAATACTTTGGCAAAACGGCCTGAAAAAAGTTGTTTACAACGCTGGATGCTATTTTTTTGCGGGATTGATTATTTTAATAATGGATTATTTTAATTTCTTTTTAAAATATGTATATTAAGAAAAAAAAAACATTTTTGTATCTATACAGAGTTACACGAGCTTACACAATATTTTTTACAATAAGCTTTTTAATTTACGGTTACTATATATTTCAAGTCAATTATTTTTACTATACGTACAGGAAAATAACTCAGTTAAGAATTTAATGAAAAAAAAAATCACAAGAAATTGCGTTTTAATAGTTTAATTTTAAAATTAAATAACAATGTTCTATAAATTCTAATTTAGACCAAAATATGATTTGTAACCTAAGGTAATACAGAAAATTGGGCCGATTACAGTGATGATCCTCAAGATATTAGCAAACAAATAATCATAGTGAATGTATTGTTTAATACGAATCACAATAAACATTATTTAACTTATTATGTCTCACATTACGTTGCATAAAACATAAGATTTCATTTAGACATCTTGTGTATCTTTGTGTTCATGAAGCTCTTTCTGTGTCCGCTACGTCCTCACTGGCTTCAGCGCCACTAGTGGCAAAAAATGAAAGTACTAGAAATACTGAATATTACTCGGAAAAAAAATGTTTCAAGTGATATTCATACAGCTAGCGTACTTTAAGGATTTCACTTCATATTTTTTTATAATTAAAACGAATAAGGCATTGATTATTGAACTATAAGTTGATAAACGAAATAATGAGATATTAAATAAATAATATTTTTTAAAAGGGCATCATACTTTTTACTATATAAGTTACTCTTTGTACATGAATGGATGTTTCAAGAAATTTATTTATTGATTAACTATTAAATCACTATGGCACTATACTTGTACTTAAGAAGAGTTTAAGATGTTTTTGGAATTGTTTCAAGTATTTTTAATGAGCATGAAAACCATCGTACAATAAGTAAAATGTACACTTTAGCACGTACAAGATCTTAAATTTACACATTTTCAAAGCAATAATCTGTTTTTTTTTTGTTTCCAACACGTATAGTACCAAATAAAATACCCTTGACTCCAGCAAGTTAACTCTTATATCTAAATAATATCAGTTGTTCTATCACGAAAAAGTTAAAAAAAAAAAAAAAAAAAAAAAAAACCAATTTAAGATTTCTGCGTAATGTTTGTGTAGCAATATGCTTCGTTTATCCTGCTTGTAGCGTTTACAATTTTCACCACTAGTAGTCCTAAAGTCGTTAAAAGGACAGAAGATAATGTAAAAAATAACCATCCATAATATTTTTGTTATCAATTTCTGCTAAATATAAAAGATACTCCTAAAAAATTACAACCGTGATGAACTCCAAGTTTGTACTAACTAAAACGTCGAAATTACCTTTACACTGATTATTGCTCTCAATTCAGAAATATTTCATTTATTTGTAATATGTACACTAATACTTTTACGTATAAGTTTTTTATTTCTATGTTATTGCAGTCAGGATGAATATATTTTTGTATTACCCAAACTACAAGCTGAAAATCATAATTGGTAACGAAGGTAAACTGTGTTGGTATTTGTCGTATTAAAAAACAACTTTTTTTGAGTAAAAAACATATGTCCTTTTATATTTTACATTTAAATGTATTAGTTTAGAGCTTTGTTTTGGAAAATTTTCAGTTTTTTACCCTTGATGCAATTTATTTTATGTTGGGTATTCTGGACAAAAATGACAAGTATTAAATCCAAGAGATTCAAATTTAAAGTATGAAACATCTTCTTACATACTATTCTTGTCAACAAAAACTTTATTTTGTTATTCATAACTAACACTTTACAATCTAAAAAGATAATAACCGAACAAATTGTAAATCCACATTATAAGAACAAAAATATTTTCTCAGTTTTTAATAATGTTTTTGTTAAACGATTACAAATTCTGTTATCTGCAAGAAATATTAAAAAAAATTTCGTGCATGTGTTATGAACTCATTCTATCCAAGGCGGTGGGTTATCTAACCAATTGGACTCTGGGCCTTTTGTTTCAGCAAACGGGTGATAAAAGTGTTCATGAACTTCTTTAGATGGAGCTTTTACGATGACAATCTTCCCGCGTGAACTCTTGGCTGAAAGTAGCAGTCTTAGAAGTAACATGAATATAGCTACATTTGCTACAAGTATACTTCTTATTAATAATATCTTGACAGAAGCCAGCTGTATTGGCACCGAAAGTAGCTAGAAAAAGTGATTTTAAAATTAACTAAGTAATATATTGCTGTGGCTGTCTAGAATGAAATCATTGGCTATTAATGATTTTTCGATTAACTAATTGCCAGAAATACCTGAATTCCTATGGGTATCATCATCAAAAAAGATCTAATTCTCTGCATGACGTTTCCTTTCTTCTTCTTACTATAGTTACTGTCACCATCTCGGCTACTGACTGGTGTTAAAAAGTTGAAAAAATGTTATTTGATAATAAATAACTACTTGTTTAGCTAGAGAGGTGAGTCACAGAGAATAGAGTTTTTTCGAATTTATTCAATGCCATAAAAAGTTTTCTATTCAGTTATCTCTAGTGGAATAAAATTAGTTTTTATTTAATTAGAGTATAATATAAAACTTACAACAGTTTTAATTGAAATAAATATTAATCTTTATGTAAATACTTGCTAGATAAAAAAAAGCTATCGTATTTTGCGCATAAAATCCAAAAAATCTCTGTAATGTGAATTAACAACCAGTGGTAATTAACGTTTTAAATGAAAACAAATAATTATTCCTGTAGTTATTCATGATTAATACTTGAAATTTTTTACAACCATACACGTACTATTTACAAAAATTTGCAATGCTTAAGGATCGCTTGTACCTTTTTACGTATTTTTGTATTTGTATTCAAATAAAATGCAATTAATCACTTAAATAATTTTTTTTTTCAACCTGTTTTAATCTAGAATTTAAACTATAAGATATTAAAATAGCTCTGTATAACCATCTATCACAAGACAGAATAAAATATAAATAGAAGAAAGAAGATTTATGCTGCTGGAACAAAAATGCAAAAAGATACATTACCGTGTTTAAAACTATCACTATTACTGACAGGCGAATACTGGACAATCAGCTCATTGTGAAAGTAGTTAACCTTGAGGCCATTTACAGGCTCGAAACAGTAAGCTTGAAATTTATTAACCATATTTTCAATCGCTTCGTTAGTGGAATTGGCAACATTACTGTAGAACAAAGCTACTGTGTCTTTACAGCTTAGTAGCAAACAAAAAGCTACACAGTGCAGTGTCTGTGAAGTGACAGTCATATCTAATTTTTCGTACCAAAATTGTTCAATATATAAAAGCCTTGATTTTTCTCACATGCCTGTCTTCAACTTTCACCCTGCTTATGTCTGCTCCTGGATCTTATTGATAGGGTCGTATACTTACACAAATGTCATTAATCTTTAATGTTTACTCGAGGGTGAGCCGATAATATCTTTTCGAAGTTGTCAAGACTCTTTACGTAGTCATTTGATACCAAGCACTAAGACTTAAGAGACAGTACTGAGATACAGAGAGTCCAAAATTTACTTAACCGGACGTGCGTGTAGGCACACTTTAGTACAAGATTGTGTAAAATTTACCTGTTGTACAGCTGAGGATAATGAGTACTCGACTTTTCAGCCTAGAAAAAATGAGCAGTTCCAAGGGAGCTGATCAGCAGAGAGACTGTGAATTTAGTTACCACGCAGGAGAAAAAACTCTTATAACTTATCTGGACAGGACCAAGTACGTGTGTCAAGTGCAGCACAGCATGCATCTAGCATATTGATAGTAGATTTTGCAGCATAGCATGCATACATGATACGAAACTGATTTTTTCCCGACAAACGCGTTAGATAGGATATAGAGAGGCTACGTTGTAATTAAGGTTGTATATATTTCGCAGGATAGTACGGTAAAACAGCCAGGATGCTGACCACGTGCGAATAATTGTAGGACGATCAGTAGAGCACACCCGTTTCCAGGATGGCTAGCCATGCCTGAAAAGCAGAAAATGAAAGTTATGGGAAATGGGTACGTATAGTACGGGCACGATTACGATTCTTCTAGTCCCGCTCTCTAGGTGCCAATTTCATAAAACTAAACCCGTATACTTATAGTCGGGTAAAGTTAGCAAATCCACAACATAAAGTTGCGAACTTCGCTTTTAAAATTTTTTTTGTCATATATTAACAACACAAATAACATGTTAAGTTTGGACGCCGATCCCAATAGGGCAAGATGGTTAAAAAATAAAAATAAGAATCATCTAGATCACATTTTTGCGATTTATGGAAAAACTATGCATTTGAAAAATAAAGTGTGGTAAAATAAAAAATGTGTGATAAAAATACGAATCTAATAAGTTTTTTTGAGCTCCGAGTTTTTTAGTAAATGCAAAAAAAAAACATTTTTTTTATGCCATTTTTTCAAAATTCCATAACTTTTGTTCTGTTGCATATGAAGACTTAAAACTTTGACAGAATATGTGATCTACAGGCTTCAATAGCCATACAAAGTTTAGCAAGATCAATTAGATGCTTTTTAAAGAACTTTGAAAAAATTGGAAAAAGGTCCTTCCGAAAAATTGCCATGGGAAAGTTTTGGGCCAAAGTAGACCAATTTTTCAACCGTACTTTTGATAATCGAGAGTTGCTCTACAACATCCTGCAATGCTGTACTAGTATACCCAGCCAAAATCTGAAAAAAATTGATTTTAAGAAAGAGAGCTTTCACGGTCTGATGGTGGAGGGTCACAAAGATCGAAATGTGACTATTTGAAAAATGTCGCAAAATTTTGACTAAAATTTTTTTTTTTAATTAAAACTTTATTTTTCAAATGCATAGTTTTTCCGTAAATCGCAAAAAAAATGACTTAGACGATTCTTACTATTTTTTTTTAACCCTCTTTCCCTATAGCAATCGGCGTTCAAATCTAATACATTACTTGTATTGTTATTATCTAACAAAAAAAAATTTTTTAAGTGAAGTTCGCAATTTTATGTGTTTTAAGGCCACGAATCAGCTAATTTTACCCGACTATTTTACGAGTTTTGGGATGCGCTAATCACGATTCTGTGGTCGAAATTTGGATATCTTGAAGTCTAGTTAGATAAATCAGTGTATTTATTTAAATGCATGATATTCGCTCCGAGCCGATGCAGAGGTTGCGCTCCCTCTAGCCAAAATCAGGCAACATTTATTGCATGTAAACAAACGGTTTAGAACATATATACATACGTACAGCTGCTTGTGATTGGCACTTGGCAAGCTAGAGAGAGAACGACGATCCTCTCCTGCTGTCTTATTCAGCCAATCACAAGCAGCTATACGTATGTATATATGTTCTAAACCGTTTGTTTACATGCAAGAAATGTTGCCTGATTTTGGCTAGAGGGGGCGCAACCTCTGTATCGGCTCGGAGCGAATACATGTACGTATACTTAAAAAATATTAAAAGTAAAAATACATTTTTGATTAAACTAGTTTTTAATGTACCTATTAGATAATTAACAATAGTAAAAAACAAAATAAACTAAGTTACATTTTGTATATGTGACACCATCAGAGTATATGAAATAAGTTAATGGGTGTGTGCGCAAGTCTGTTTGTGTTTGTTCGGCGACAGTGTTTGAGCTACGATTTTTATATACTAGTAAATTTTGATTATACTAGTAAATATGTGGTGGATTATTAAATAGGCAGATAAATTATTTTCAAAATGAGTGTCAAACATCCGCACTTGCGTCTAAAATTTGAAAACTTTTTTTTTTCATTCGTTCAGTGAGTTGACTAACAATAACGAAACAGCAATATTTTTCCTAGAAGAAAAGGGATGTTTACCACCAAAAACATTAATACCACCACTTTTTTGTGGCCTTCCCATGGTAGTAGAAAATAAAAAAGACGCTAAGTTACGTTGGATTTGGAGGTGCTCGTCTTTTAAAGTGTTGGCATGTACGACTTTTCGATAGGCAGTATATATAGTGTGAAAGACAGCGCCACAGGCAAGGTGATACTTGCGGGCCTTGTAGTCAGTACAGTGTAAGCCACCGGGCCTTCTACACCTCTCGTCGGTTCTAGCTTTGTTGTCTTTGTCTGTTAAGTCGGTTGTAAGTCTGTAAAGTCTGTAAATTGTATCTGGTGTGTTCTACGTCGGTCGGCAGTTTTATTAAATGAACTTTTGTTTAACTTGTAATACTCGTTTTATTATTTCGCGCACCTCCTTTACTCACACCTCTTCAGGTTACGAGGCCCAGACTCGCATCACCGCGCGTGATCTCTTATTTATTTTTTTTGTGTGTGACAAAAGAGAGGATGGCGGAAAGGGCTGAGACAGCAAAGGATGGACAAGAGAGTCCGATCGAGGAAGCAGCCGAGAGCGTGACCCCTGGTGACCAGGCCAAGTCCGTTGTCGACCAGGCGTTGTCGACGACAGTCGAGGAAAGAAGAGCAAATCTGGACGCCGGAACCGAGATCAGCGGTAGGTCAACACTTTGTTTTTTTGAGTAATGCCTAGGTTGGACGCTACGACGTCAGGTAAAAAGGGGTTTTCTTGTGCATTCTCCAAGAAATACGTGGCGTCGGTAGCGCGACACGCACATGCAAGAGCGGGGCGGATCGAGAGGGGGACAACATATTGCGGCTGAGGAGAGAGTTCGGTCTCTCTCTCTCCCTCTCGTGATGACGCGAGGCTTTTTGACTGAAAATATATTACAAGGCCGTTTGTGTTTTGTTGCCGTGCTTTCTCGCGTCTCATGTGCTTGTCGCCTCGACTGTTGTGTGCGCGTTACTATATAAATGTCCGAACTGGAAAAGTTTGAACGTATGTCGGCAGAAAATTATATATGTCCTTTCCCGGTGCTTTTAATTAATTGAACTCTAGGCAATAAATATTCAAGGCGGTTTTCAGATTTAGACAGAAAAGGCTGATATTTTAAAAGTTTACATTTTCTTTTAGACGAGCAAACTATCGATGCTCTGTCGAGAATATGTCAGGGAATTTCATCCCAAGTCAAGTCAGAAGGACGACAACAAGCTGCTATCTTGTTGGTGAATAAGAGAGAAATAATGGCTTGTGTCAGGCAAAGGGATATTCCCGCCAAAGGTGTGTAGACGAAATTCTTTTCCGTGTGACTCGCACAGTCACGTTAGACTTGTGTTCGTCGCGCGCGGCAGTGTGAGTGCCCAGCATGCAATCGTGCGTTGTGTTCGAGCACGAGAACACGCTTCGGGCCACGTTGACTAGATTCGGCTTGCGTTCGGTCGATTTCTAGTTGACTCCCTGAAAACAATGTCCGTCTTTTGTTTTATATTACCTGATCAGTGACGATTACGAATACATCGTTAAATTTCTATGTAAAAAGGGAGGCAAAGTGACGTTGCCAGAAAAGCTATTCAGGGAAGACGGGGAATGCGAGGAACCTGCTCCTAATAAACCCGGGTTATTTGAAAAGTCGGTCGATGTGTTTAAAATGTCAGATGAGAAAAAGTCCGAAATGTCAGAAGTCCGAAACCTTGATGAAATAAATGTAGACAGTGAAAATGTTTGGCAGAAATTAGGCGGAAATGAGTCTGTACACGAAGCAGCCCCCTCTCCCCCGTCGCGCACATCGGAAAATACCCAACTTAAAGTAAAGAAAGTACAAACCATTGAAAACAATTATAAATGGATAAACGTCAGCAAAACGAAGATGCACATGGCAGATAAACAGAAAAATGAAAATTTTTCAGAAAACATCATGCTGGCTAGGTTCGACTCGATGATGGCCGCGATTAGTCAGATGATCGAGAGGCAGGAGAAAGCAAACGAGGACGCAAGGAAGACAGAGGAAAAATGGGCAAGGAAGGCAGAGGAAGAAAGGCAGGAAGCTGAGAGAACAAGGGAGGAGATAATTCTGGTCATGCGCAATTTTGACCAGAGGTTGTCCCGGTTGGGCGAGCGGGTGAACAGGGTCGAGTCATCCAAAGCCCAATCGTCAACCGAGGCACCCCTGCAGTCATCAACTCCTCGCAACGACAGAAGATGGGTGAGTCTGCAAAACAAATTAAAAACGTTCTTGAATGACACAAAAAATAAAAATTTGTCAAAAGACAGCGCGGAACTTCTCGCGACAACCATCAGTCAAATACATAAATTCGGCCGTGATACTCGACACATATACAATTACCATCTGTCTAAAGATATGAAGTTCGAAGTTTTTCTCGATAAATTTAAGTCTGAACTCCAGTCTAAAGAGTTATTATATGTCATTGATTCTTCGATTAAAAATACT